CTGCACAAATGCAGATCATGGCCGATAAGAGCATCTACAATCGGACCTCTCAAACCCGCCTCATATACCCGGACGTCGCTCGGTCACTGCTCGTTCACGATTTTTTTGATCCAGACGAGCCCCTCAAACGCCCGGGCTGACCGGCACCCCCTATATCCAACCCAAATATATGGCGGATATGTGGGCGCCCGCCACGTCGGACTGACGAAGGGGTCCCAGCCGGCAACGCCCTCAAACTCGACAGTCCGAAGCTCGTCTCCTCCGTCGGACAGGTAGCGCCGCATGGCGCAGCTCCAGCGGGCTGCGTAGTGCATTGCCCGACTATTTAGGCACCGAAACCCTATTATCCTTCCACATTTTCCTCCTCCTGTCCGCCGTCACCGCCACTTTCCACTCCACCCGTCCGCCTAGTGGCCATGCCCCCACGCCGCCGAGTGAGGAGCGAGCCCTTTCTAACGTCGGAGCGCCGGCTCGAGCTCCTTAAGCAGATCCGGGCTAGGCGTGAAGCCTGGATCGCCAGGGGCTACCTCCGGATGCAGTGGATCCAGAGAAGGAGGACGAGGTGGAGCACAAGGAGGAGGAGGAGGAGGAGAAGGAGGATGAGCTGGAGGATGAGGATGTGGGGGACGCTGGCGACGGGGATCTGCAGGCGGAGCAGCAGGCCATCCTCGATTCCCTCCGGTCGGAGCCAGCTGCAGAGGCAAGATGCCGTCGCCGGCACGAGATGGAGGCGCAAGAGGCCGCGGAGGAGGAGGAGATGTTCGCCTACATGGATGAGGTAGAGCAGGAGGAGTATGAGCCGGAGCCCTCCTACCCGCCCGTCCAACCGGCGCCCGACACCGTCGTCATGGACATCTCCGACGACGAAGAGTAGCTAGGGTAGTACTTCCTCCGTTTCAGTTTACAAGTCCTATGCGTATATCTAGGTTGTCAATTTTATCACCCTAATATAAACTATATAACACAAAATTATACCGTTTGAAAATAGAACATCTGAAGTTTATATTGGTATATTTTTTGTAATACAGTATATGATTTGTATTAGGTTTGCCAAATTAACGACCTAGGGGTATACGCCTGCCCTGTAAACTTAGAAAGAGGGAGTACGTAGATGTAGTACGTAGGATTTCTTTTGCATGCTTTGTATGAATCTAGAGGATGAAATATGAAAGAGCTAGGTGGGTGCAAAATGGCTAATTTGAAGCATGTCCGGGCATCCGAGAGGCCCGATCTGCAAAGTCCGGCTGTAGCCCCCCTTAGCCAAAAGCTCTCCTAGCCAAAAGTTAGTCATCTCATCAAGAAAATTAACTGCCCCAATTTCCAAACCTGTAATCATCCTAAAGCGGATAACTCATAGTATAAATATCTGCAAAGTGAGATGGATGGCAGACTGAGACTGGGCAACGTGTGACATGTCATTGTAGCACTGCTCTGCTCTTGGGTGGCTGTCATGCTTTCGGCGGGAAGGGAGGAAGATGCCAAACCCCGTTGGCTCGGCTCGTCGGGGAGAGCGGTCGGCCAGGCCAGGTAACATCGTACCACGCTCGCGGCCAGCCAGCAGAGAGCACGACGGCAGCTAGCTAGATGATGATCGGTCGACATCCATCCTTGTACAGAAAGAAAACGAAGCGCAAGAAAACAAAGAGCCTACTATGCATACATCCTGCCGACCACATCCACTACCTAGCTTGGCTGCTCCATTATCGGCCTACGTACACACCCTCGCCATGCCGAACGCCTCCGCTCCGCTCCGTTGCCCTCGCCCGCTCTCCGCCAAGTTAGGCGTGGAGGGAGCCACCTTGATTAACAATCTAAGGCCTCCTTTGTATAGAAAAACGGAAATGTTAACGCCCACACGTGTGGGCGTTTGCATCTCGTTCACACGCGTGGATCCGCGTCCGTTCGTGAGCGCACGAATCTTGGCATGATTCTAATGCCACATACGACTAGCCTGGTGTGTGGGCATTCACTCGGTCGCCCACACGGTCGTTTTACCACACGGGAAGGGCTGGTGTGAGAGCGTTCAGCAGTTCGCCCACACGCCACTTTGCACGCACACACAAGGGTTAGTGTATGGACATTTGCCATCTCGCCCACACGCCCGTTTCCTCTCCCACACCCAAACTGCTAGTTGCCACGTGTTTTGTAGTGCACATGACAACTGTCCCTAGTGTGCTTTATAAGAAGGTGGCAACTCCTCTTATTTACCCGAGTTGCCATGTGTTTTCCAGGGTACACGGCAACTGCCTAGTGTGTACGTAAGCAGATGACAACTCTCTTTTACCGAGTTGCCATGTGTTTTTGCATTGTACATGGCAACTGCCCTAACGTGCACGTACATGGCAACTGCCCTAACGTGCACGTAAGCAGATGTCAACTCTTTCCTTTTACATGGCAACTGCCCTAGCATGCTTGTGAGCACATGGCAACTATCCTAGTGTTAGTATGTGGCAACTCCTAAAATTTTAAAATCATGGCGATTACATTAGACCAGACCATACATGACAACTGCAGTTGAGCAAACATGGCAATTGCAGTTGTCCGACATGGTAACCGTAGTTCGGTGACATGACAACTGCAGTTAAACGAACATGGACGAGGGTCTGGACCATGGCAACTGCGGGCGCGCGGTGACTGTCACGCGTGGCGTGCGGGACCAGGAGGTACGAGGCCTGACATACGGTCGTGTGGGCGTTATCAACTTCGCCCACACACACGCGTGCGAGAGAGATTGGGAGGGAAAAAATGTGTGGGCATTAGTTGTTTTGCCCACACGTAGGTGTGTGGGCTCTTCCTCGTATACACCACATAAAATGTATGGCGGACTCTCTAACGTCCACACGTGTGGCATTTATCGGCGTCTAAAAACGGAATAGGAAAGTCATAGAAAATGACATGACGTATCTCAAATCTTACGAGTAGGAATAGAAAAGGAGATGCCCTTTGATTCACATCATAAGATTATTTTTATTGGGTCTAGATTAATGTTTATTTTTCTATGAAATATAAAGAATAGGAAGAATTTCTCCATAGGAATAGGATTCCATTCCTATAAACCAAAGGGCTCTAAAGAAATTTTTTCTATAGAAATACTATCCTATGAATTCCTACAAGATTTCTTCAAACCAAAGAAGGCCTGAAGACTTGCCTCAGTAGGTGCTGATCCTACCAGATATATATGTCCGCTTGGCCAATAAAGTTCATTTTCTCTCTAGAATTAGGTATTCCCTCTATTCGAAAATATAGGTTGTACTCTTGGCCAATAAAGTTCATTTTCTATCTAGAATTAGGTACTCCCTCTATTCGAAAATATAGGTTGTACTCGTGTCAAACCGTGTATTAATTTTGACTTTTGGAAACTGAGCAACTACTAATATCTAAAGAGAGCCAACGTGTCAAAGCTTATAAATATCTTTTGGTGGATAAATATCCACGTCTTGCCAAAGCAAACGAGACAGAACCCCCCCCCAGGAAACTGTGGAGCACCTTTTCTTCACGTGCCCCTTTAGTCAGCGGTGCTGGCGTAAGGTTGGGATGTCATGGCCGGGGGGCACCAACAGATTAGCCCTTTTGCATGGGGGTAAAGATAGCTGGCATCGGCCCCTATTCATGGATGTTTTTTTGCTTGCTGCTTGGAGCCTATGGATGGAGAGAAACAACCAACATTTCAGGGGGATTCCACACTCCTTCGTGGCATGGCTAGCTAGATTCAAAAATCTCTTGGAGCTGGTGGCCCACAACTGTCCAGAGAAATCCATTCCTTTTCTCTCTGATTACATTGTAAATTTGGGGCTCTAGTCTTTGTTTTTGTAGCTTTACGGCCGGGGGGCCTAAAACCCATTGTAACACACATGTAACTGTTCTCTTGTGAGTAATACAAAAGTCAGTGGGAACATTGACCCTTCAAAAAAAAGCAAACAAGACCGACGGCGAGCTGAGATTTGGCACAACGTGCTGCATCGTACGTACTCACGTGCATTATTGTTTCGGTGGTTGCAGTTCCCTGTCATACATTAGGTATGTTGGAAAGATTATTGGCTCGTTGGGCGGTCCGCAAGCCACATACCTTACTGTCGAAGGCTCGCCGCCAACTCCCTATCGAGATTCAGAGGAACCTCTAAAGAGTTCGGTGCATATTCAGCTATTTCCGTATCTCACAAAAGAACGTGCATCTTCCACCTTTCCTCATCAATGGGCCAAATGATAAAACATGGGACTGCCCATACTGCAATCACCTTTGCATTTCAAAAAGAACAAAAACAAAACAGTCTGATTTTGTAAGCGGTTTCACAAATTCACTTGTTCCACCCTAACCACTAGCACTCATTGTAAAATCGATCCCAAAAGATGCAACATACTTAGTGACCTATGCAGCCGAGGCATCCTAACGAACAAACAATTTGAACCTTGTTCCTACACGGCCTCATCAAATCAATTAGGCACTTGCCATCTATCTTCATTGTTCAACTCTTTGATGAAAAGATGAAAAAAAAACGAAAACCAAACAAACTCTGCCCTTCAATCTCTTGGATAGAAAGGGAGGGCAGAGGCCTTTGATGTGCCTTCCAGTCAAGAACATGGGCTTCACAATTACTAGCCAATATTTATCCCATGCCTTTCCTCGTTCATGGTGATCATCACTATCACATCCTTTTGCGTCTCATTTTAAGGAACAAACAGAGATAAAACCAGGAATTTCAATAGCTCACCCAACATTCAAAGGCAGGCACTGGGCGAGAGATGGATAGAAGCAGGAAATCTCATTTCTCCCTACTCCAAAACCAATCACTGCGTACACTCAAGCAGCAGCGTGAAGCATGTTCTCATGTCAAACCGTGTATTTAACTTCATATGTGCGGCAGCATTATTGCATACTACTAAAACCTTGGCAAAATTTGAATAACCTGATTGCCTAATGAAAGACACGCATTCCATTCGATTTCATCCATTTGAAATGAGGGCTTCAACGAGCAAAAAATTCTATTAGTGGTGGTTTTCTTCTACTCCTGGTACTGGCCCTCTGGGATTCTCGATGGTTCTCCGACTGCATCTTCCATCCGCTGGTACCACTCGCCGATTTGGGTATGCTCAACCATGTCTTTTCCAGATTGCAGGTATCTGATAGGTCTCAGGACACCAAACGCTGCAAGATCTGCCAAGTTAGGCTTGGAGCCACCTGGATCACAAAGACATTGAAAACGAAGTTAATGCAAAAGGACTACAATAAACTCGCTGTATTCTAGTTTCCCTGCAGGTTCTAAGATGCTTCTTTTATTTGGTTCAAGGATAAATAAGATACCAAGAAAATTTCTTCCGTTCAGGGCTTCCGTCCATGTGTTGGCAGCATCATACAACGAGGCGCGCTCATCAGTAATGTTGTATTTCTTCTTAAGCTTCTTGGCCACGAAGTACATTGCTGCAGCACCAGCATACTTCACAGCAAACCGCTCGGTGAAACTGAAGTTACCTGCATCAGAGTTTGGGTGGAGAAAGAAACATCGGTGAGGAAATCAGGAACAAGAGTAAATTTAAGTTTTCAACAAATCATGGTCTGCACATCAAACAGATGGATACAGAACACCACACCTTTACCCATTTCCCGTTTGTTTCTAACTATGAAATATAGTTACTTGGTCTATTATGGAAATGTTTCTCCCACATCGTAAAAAGGAAGGCCCATTAGGTATGGGTAAAGGGACAGCACTTCAGCATGTTACTAACCTGTCCTGCATTTAGGATTCATCACGGGAGAAATGGGTGTATGGAAACTGACTAGCCTGTATAGTTACGTGTGTAGGGTTCACGGAATCATAGTATTTGTGAATTTGTCTCATGTTTTGCGCAACTTACCTTCCACAAGTCTGGTTCACAAAATCACATTTTACAAGCATTGCAAAACAGACAACAAAATCCACTTATGGTAGTTGAATGATACGTAACAAAAAGGAACCAAAAGAACTCATGCAATACTGGCATTGTTTCATAGATCTGCTAAGAATAAGAAACAGGAAAGAGAACTGTAATACGACTATAAGCATATAATCACCTATTTATACAATTGCTTGATAATTTACATCGTTCTCTATGTAAACCTCAGTAAACAATGAGCACAAGTTCACAAAATATTAGAATTCTGAAGGATAGGAAATTTATTGGCGGTACAAAAAAAATCATATATTAAAAAGAAACAACATTATAGCAAGGCACAAGAAGAAAGATGAAAGTTCTAGAATTTTACCATGCTTTGCAATGTAGTCAAAAGATTCTAGAGCCTCTGAAGTCGTCCGGTATATATTGGGTGACAATACATGCACAAGGTGCTCATCAACCCACCTAGATCAAAGAAAGATGTAGAAAACTGTCATGCTCTAGTAAATAAGAGTATGTTGTAAGTATGTCAATAGTCAATACAATCCTAACTCCTTCCAGAAGTACTAAACTACGCCCTAATGCCAGCTGAACTGGCCATACTAGTCCTAACTAGCTTTGGAACATGGGTGTGACCTTGTGAGCAGTGTTACTTGCATATATTTTCAGAGAACATAAAAAGGTATCTGAAAATTTCAGAAGTGTAAATTTATTATTGTTTAACTCGATGAATAAAACTTACACCTGCCATTTCAGATATATAAGCCTAAATGATCTGCACAAAAGGATTGAGTACTCGTGAACTCCCAAGGGAAAAAGCACAAAGTTGGCCAAAGCTACATCTGCTAGAAGCCTAAAAGTAGTGATCACTAAAGTTTATCTAGTGTAGTTTTCAGGCCATGGACAACAATGCAGTAGGGATGAGCATCTGGTTTATTTAGTAAAGCTTACTCTGGTTTCTACTAAGTGCCCATAGAAATAGCAACAAACCAAAATAAAAGAGGAGACAATAAACTTAATAAGCAATTTATATAGTCGCAGTCATCAGTTTTTGGTTAAGCAACTAATTCAGAGCATCAAAATAGCAGTTCAGCTGCTTTCACAATCAGTGGAACAGTAGCAGAACATCAGCTCAGGCAGTATATCAGCAGCACAAACACAAAGGCCTAGTGAAGACACACCAGGGCGGAGGAGGTGGAGGAGCACCAGGGTCAAGGAGACGAATGGACGCCACTATGCTGGTGCATATATGTGCCAGAGCTAGGAAGGTAGACGAGCGCCTCCGTAAGGGCAGAGACAACAGAGCAACTAGGGCTAGATTCCTGCGAGTTAAGGTTGGTTTGGGAATGTGAATGTTATGGTGAGTCATGGGTTGGATTGGGCCTTAAGCCAGCGGTTCGGGATATGAGAGTTTGAGGTCAGCATTGTATGATTCACGGATGGGATTGGGCTTTATGATAGCAGCCTGCGAGATGATGCGCATAGCGATTTTCTTGTTTATAAGGACCTAATACTGCAAACTGAAAACAAAGAACTTCAATCTGTTAATTATGGTCTTTAGGACAACATCCATGGTAAAGTTCTTTGTTTCGTCAACTAACTTGCCAAGTAAAACACTGCAAATAAGTAAAATGGGTGTGTAGAAAGTACTTCAAATGGAAAGAAATATGGCAACTGCGACTCTAAAACATACTCCCGCGGTTCCAAATTACTCGTCGTGGTTTTAGTTCAAAATTACTCGTCGTGGTTTTAGTTCAAATTTGAACTAAAACCACGACGAGTAATTTGGAACGGAGGGAGTACAAGGCTAAAGAAAGGAAGCACCAGAGACAAATTAACATCGGACACATGGTTGCACACCAATCAATTAAAAAAAACACATACTTGCGCCATTTTGTTTCCTCTTCGTTAGTAACTTCATCATCAGGGCTGATCCTGTGCTGCAATATATTGATTATGTCTGCCAACAAGAGATAAACAAATGTTAAACACAAGAGTTTAGTGCATATGAACAGCATAACATGTTACTTGAAGCTGTAACAAAGTGAAGGACGTGAATTGCAAAAGGAAGTTGTGGGTAACAAGCGTAACCTGTAGAATCAACCAGATGTTCACCATCTACCGTCAATATCGGGACCTTCTTGTACTCAGACCACTTGATTTCCTTTTTGCTCAGTGGATTAACTTCCACAACTTTGTAGGGTATATCATGATAGTCTAGGAAAGCTAAACAAAGCCAATAAAAAACAGTTAAGACTCAAGGAGATTGTGCAGAACGCTGGCACAAGTATGTCAGAACAACCTACAGGTCTCTAGCAATCAACTTTGAATATTCTGAATTCTGAATCAACACCACTCCTTTGAAATATTAAAATAAAAATCATGCCCATTATAAAAATGCAATAACGAAATTAGTGCATCTAGTTTGCATGTGTACACCTGAGCTTACACAAAGCTCGCAACTTAGTTATCCAACTATATTTAACTAAACTTTATATGGTTTGCAAGTTTGTATAACCAATCCACACCAGCATAAAAATCTCGAAAGTATAAAACAATCTGCCTCAGCCCATTCATGAAACCATTTCAAAAATCCTATCTGAACAGCAGGGGACATTTTCTTGCTTAATATCAGTAGCTTTCGCATCAGACCTTTATAGTAGTAATTTCTTAACTGAAAGACTCTTTACCTAACTCAACTGATACTCTTTACAACAGAAAGCCAAACCCTAAGGGACAACATCAGCACCAAGCTGCTACATAAATAGGGCTGCAGCCTGGGCTTTGGCCGAACACATGAAAATACCATATGGGAGTGCTGTAGCCAAGGTTGGCAGGCCCACCATAGGGGAAGGAGAAAAGATGGTCTGTGTATAACGAGAAAGGGTTAAAAATGCATGTGCTTATAAAAGGTTGGCCACCTGACATTCCAATCTAGTCTCCAGCTAATAAATACAGGGATAAGACCTTATCCCTAACATACAAACAAAAAAACTGAGGATTTACAATTACAATAATCCTTAGTAATGCATAAATAGTGCAGATATCTCTGTATAAATTAGCTTTATGTAACCTCTTCTTGTACATATACAAACATCCCAAAAGATAGGAAGATCTACTGCTTTCCCTCAAAAAAACTCTGTACTAGTTATGATGAATCAACAAAGATTCATATCCTTTTGCAGCTCTTTAGTAGTAGAAAGTTATTTCACAGCATAATGTTTGCATTGCTTGGGCGAATACAATATGATTTCAGATAAGCACAACTAATGGTCTCAAACAAGCATAATTGATGATTTCAAACAAGAATAACACAATACTGATTGATCTTGAACCATGCCAATAGACACAGGAATGGTACCACCAGGTCAGAAAGCATTCTACATTTAACAATTATAAAGCAATACAAGCAGAGATTAAAAAGTCTACAGGTGCTAAGCCATAGATTTCCCCAACAGCCCTTTAGTCTCTAGCAGGAGCAGAAATGATGTGTTGACAAGCTCTGATTACAGTCTAATTTGATCCAATGAGAACAAATTCTTCTAACCCACATACAAATCTAACCTAACACACTACAAAATCGTACTCTAGATTTGAAGGCCATGCCAACTCTGACTGAATCTGTCAGCGCAACGGGATCTCGCCATTTTCCAGAGAGCCGAGGCGCGAATCGAAAAATGCTACTAGATGGGAGGGCAATCTCACCTCTGACCTTGTTGCAGAAGGGGCACGCCTGGTACTGGTAGAGCACGACGTTCCGGGGCAGCAGATCCGTGGGCAGCCGCTCCTTGGCCTGCACCTCGGCCACCGCCACCGTGGCGAACGTCAGGGAGAAGGAGACCGCGCCGGCGATCCCGGCCCGGGACGACGGCCCCGGGCAGGGCGTCGGCGCAGGCGGCGGCGGCGGCGCGTTGCCCCAGCGGCCGGCCGCGGCGGGGGCGGCCGCGGCGGCGTGGAGCGCGCGCGAGGAGAGGAGGGACGAGCGGGGGGCGAGCAGGGTCCGCGCCGCGCGGAGGGAGCTCATCGTGGCCCTGGGGTTTCGCCGGAGGGGCGGCCGCCTCGTCGGCGTCGGGGGAGGGGTGGGGTGGGGTGGGGGGTGGGCTTCGCGTCGCGGCCTGGATGGAGCTGGAAGATGCCTAAAACCCTGGGTTTAAAATTACAATTTAATCCCCAATTGAGGAAATGTTCTACTCCTTTGGTCCTTGAGGTGTACTGAAATTACGTTGCGGCACTGGGTCTGTATGGGAATGGAGAGGAGCAAGGGGACAGGTGCGAATGGTATGATTCTGAGGGGTCTCTGCGCTCTTTTCCTCTGTAACAGCGGGTTCTTCTTGCGGGAGAAGAAAGAGAGGGCGTGAATGTAATCGACGGGATAATGGAAAGGAAATCTGGCTGACATGTGGGCCTGTGGTGTCGGCATGGCCCACTTGTCAGCTGGAACAGTTGAGTGTGCGTGCTGTGTTAAAAGGCTCTGGAGAATGGGGACTCGAGTGGCCACCACCGGCTGAACGTGACAACGGGCGCACGGCCGACTTTGGAACACATAGCTTTGGCGAGCACCACGATTTTCCCTCACCGTTTTATTACCACCAACAATTTTGCTTGCGATTTTTATCGATGTGTCCTTTGATCAAACGTTATCGCGTCCCTGGGTGATCAGAGCATCTCCAACACGTGGTATATCTTGTGCATACAGAAAGTGGTTTTACACCTTTTTTTTTAAATTTTGCATTTTTCATCACCCGGAACATTATAGGGAGCACCCATTTTGCTCCAACAGATGCCTTATATTTTGGGCACGGAAACATCAAAAACATTGCGAATTCTATCGAACACGAAAATTTTAATATAGTTGTAACAGCCCGAGACCAGCTTTCCGTAGTATATTTATTACATCGCACTAATTATGTATTCGTTGCATTCATCATGTCATCATTCGCGTTGCATCGGCAGTCCGTTGCCGTCATACCGAAATTATTCGGGTGTCGATGTACTAAAGTAGGGATGATTTAGTGCCCCATACTTGTGCACAACCAGTTGTAGCCTATCCGACGGCAAGGGCTTGCCGGAGGATAGCTCCGGAAAAGACACAAGACTTGGTTGGTAAAACCATGAAGAAGATCTCAAGGCGGGTCATCGAGAAGTACTAAGTTAGTACCGAAGATCAAGCATCAAGTTGCCGGCAGGTCACTTGCCGGCAAGCAAAGACCCCGGCAAGCTCCCACTATCTCTCCACCGCTCCACTAAGCGACACGCCAGTCGCTTGTCAAGTAGGTGTCGAGTGGGCAGGTAGTTAGGTGAGGCTTGTCGGGGCACGTGTCAGCTCACACCGAAGAACCAACTTTAATGACACCCGTCCCATAGGCGTGTCAAGATAATACGAGGTAGCCAGACGAATGACACAAAAGGAGAGACGATTCTTGCCGGTGCGCATCACCAGCACGACACCTCATGACGCATTTAATGATTTTGTCCTAATCCGGCAGGGTTAGGTATGATAGCACTGTAGCCACTATTTACCTCGTGTAATTACCAATTTGCCATTATGGTGACCCCTTAACCTATAAAAGGAGGCCCATGGCTACCTTTACAAAGGTCGACACTTTGCTCATTTACACGCATAGCTGCATTTCCCGCGCACCTTGCCGGCAAGTCGCGCTCCTTGTAACTTGAGCTCATACATACATCAATACACCAAATCAGGAGTTGTGCTCGTCAATCCCCATAGTCGAACCGCAAAGGGGCCATTGCCGGTCCCATAGATCGTCATACGCACAACATCTTTGGCACGCCAGGCAGGGGGATCGCTTGTGTGGACCTGATTCAGTAGTCTGCGCATTAGCTTCATCATCATCTTCACCGCCCATGGCGCCCAAGAAGAAGGGCACCACGGCGGGCGCTCCATCTATGTCCAAGCTTCCGATGCCGACGCATACAGGCGGCGGTGGAGGAGGCGGAGGCGGCGAGCAACTTCCACGACGCTCTGGCGATCCTAGCCAGGCAAGCGGTGTTGTCCGGAGTGGGGCGAACAAGAACCTGACCGCTGCCACGTCCAAGGATGTAGTCGCGAAGCCTACGGGCGGCGCGACCAACTCCAAGGACGGCGCGACAACGTCCAAGACTCCCACACCGACACATATGGCAAGGCCATCGCATGATGGACACGACACGCTGTTGGAAATATGCCCTAGAGGCAATAATAAAAGGATTATTATTATATTTCCTTATTCATGATAATTGTCTTTTATTCATGCTATAATTGTATTATCCGGAAATCGTAATACACGTGTGAATACATAGACCACAATACGTCCCTAGTAAGCCTCTAGTTGACTAGCTCGTTGGTCAACGGATAGTCATGGTTTCCTGACTATGGACATTGGATGTCATTGACAACGAGATCACATCATTAGGAGAATGATGTGATGGACAAGACCCAATCCTAAGCATAGCACAAGATCGTGTAGTTCGTTTTGCTAGAGCTTCTCCAATGTCAAGTATCTCTTCCTTAGACCATGAGATCGTGTAACTCCCGGATACCGTAGGAGTGCTTTGGATGTACCAAACGTCACAACGTAACTGGGTGACTATAAAGGTGCACTACAGGTATCTCTGAAAGTGTCTGTTGGGTTCACACGGATCGAGACTGGGATTTGTCACTCCGTATTACGGAGAGGTATCATTGGGCCCACTCGGTAGTGCATCATCATAATGAGCTCAAAGTGACCAAGTGTCTGGTCACGGGATCATGCATTACGGTACGAGTAAAGTGACTTGCCGGTAACGAGATTGAACGAGGTATTGGGATACCGACGATTGAATCTCGGGCAAGTAACATACCGTCTGACAAAGGGAATAATATACGGGGTTGCTTGAATCCTCGACATCATGGTTCATCCAATGAGATCATCGAGGAGTATGTGGGAGCCAACATGGGTATCCAGATCCCGCTGTTGGTTATTGACCGGAGAGCCGTCTCGATCATGTCTGCATGTCTCCCGAACCCGTAGGGTCTACACACTTAAGGTTTGGTGACGCTAGGGTTGTATGAATATGAGTATGCAGCAAACCGAATGTTGTTCGGAGTCCCGGATGAAATCCCGGACGTCATGAGGAGTTCCGGAATGGTTCGGAGGTAAAGAATTATATATAGGAAGTGCTGTTTCGGCCATCGGGAAAGTTTCGGGGTCACCCGGTATTGTACCGGGACCACCGGAAGGGTCCCGGGGGTCCACCGGGTGGGGCCACCTATCCCGGAGGGCCCCGTGGGCTGAAGTGGGAGGGGAACCAGCCGCTAGTGGGCTGGTGCACCCCCCTGGCCCCCCCTGCGCCTAGGGTTGGAAACCCTAGGTGGGGGGCGCGCCCCACTAGCCTTGAGGGCACTCCACCCCCCTGGCCGGCACCCCCTTGGGAGATTGGATCTCCCAGGGCCGGCGCCCCCCCTGGGGGCCTATATGAAGGAGGGCAGGGGGGAGGGCAGCCGCACCCTGTGTCTTGGCGCCTCCCTCCCCTGCTACACCTCGTCCTCCTCCCGCAGCAGCTTGGCGAAGCCCTACCGAAGTTCTGCTGCATCCACCACCACGCCGTTGTGCTGCTGGATCGTCATCAACCTCTCCTTCCCCCTTGCTGGATCAAGAAGGAGGAGACGTCATCCGCTCCGCACGTGCGTTGAACGCGGAGGTGCTGTCCGTTCAGCACTTGGTCATCGGTGATTTGGATCACGGCGAGTACGACTCCATCATCACCGTTCTCTTGAACGCTTCCGCACGCGATCTACAAGTGGTATGTAGATGCAATCTCTCTCCCATGACTCGTTGCTTAGATGAACTCATAGATGGATCTTGATGAAACCGTAGGAAAAATTTTAATTTTCTGCAACGTTCCCCAACAGTGGTATCAGAGCTAGGTCTATGCGTAGTTCTCTATTGCACGAGTAGAACACAATTTTGTTGTGGGCGTAGATCTTGTAAACTTGCTTGCCGCTACTAGTCTTTTCTTGCTTCAGCGGTATTGTGGGATGAAACGGCCCGGACCGACCTACACGTACGCTTACGTGAGACAGGTTCCACCGACTGACATGCACTAGTTGCATAAGGTGGCTAGCGGGTGTCTGTCTCTCCTACTTTAGTTGGAGCGGATTAGATGAAAAGGGTCCTTATGAAGGGTAAATAGAAGTTGACAAAATCACGTTGTGGTTATTCGTAGGTAAGAAAACGTTCTTGCTAGAACCCAATTGCAGCCACGTAAAAGATGCAACAACAATTAGAGGACATCTAACTTGTTTTTGCAGCAATTGTCATGTGATGTGATATGGCCAGAAGTTGTGATGAATGATGAATGATATATTGTGATGTATGAGATCATGCTCTTGTAATAGGAATCACGACTTGCACGTCGATGAGTATGACAACCGGCAGGAGCCATAGGAGTTGTCTTTATTTTTGTATGACCTGTGTATCATTGAAGAACGCCATGTAAATTACTTTACTTTATTGCTAAACGCGTTAGCCATAGAAGTAGAAGTAGTCGTTGGCGTGACAACTTCATGAAGACACGATGATGGAGATCATGATGATGGAGATCCTGGTGTCATGCCGGTGACGAAGATGATCATGGAGCCCCGAAGATGGAGATCGAAGGAGCTATATGATATTGGCCATATCACGTCACTACTATATATAATTGCATGTGATGTTCATTATGTTTATGCATCTTGTTTACTTAGAACGGCGGTAGTAAATAAGATGATCCCTTATAATAATTTCAAGAAAGTGTTCCCCCTAACTGCGCGCCGTTGCTAAAGATCGTCGTTTCGAAGCACCATGTGATGATCGGGTGTGATAGATCCTTACGTTCACATACAACGGGTGTAAGACAGTTTTACACATGCAGAAACACTTAGGGTTAACTTGACGAGCCTAGCATGTACAGACATGGCCTCGGAACACAAGAGACCGAAAGGTCGAACATGAGTCGTATGGAAGATACGATCAACATGGAGATGTTCACCGATGATGACTAGTC